TCCTTGTTATAATTGTAGTATAATGGACCCCATAATCCTCTTCGAATTATAAAGGCCCCTACATTATGCTTGCTTTGGCCCGAGACTTGTTAGTCTACAAGTGTTACCCACGCTGAGGCTTTGTTAAGGAATCTAGTTTCAGCCACAATGCAAAAGTTTGCTATGTTGCAACCTTTTAGCAAGCACTGCCAAGCTAAATTCATGTCTTTATAAACAGCCCAGTGTTGTGTGCTCTGTTTCGCAGGACCTTTTCGTTGCGCCAGCCGCCAGCGGTGGCTGCTGGCTTCAGGGCTCAAGAGCAATTTATTCTTCATGGTCCATGTACTTGCATGTACCTGAAATTATCGAAACATGACAAAGATCAGCCATACGCTGAATTAACATAGTGCATATCTGGTGCCTTCAGAAGCCGTTTAGTGCAGAGTTTAAAAGCTTAGGGGGTTATAGTTTATGTGTCCACCACTTCGACCCTGTATTGTACATGTCTTTTCAGGGGTTACTTACCCCAACTGAAGGTTTGTGATATCAACCCGCAGCTCTAAACCTGCAGTGAAAAGTTGCGCAAACTTCCGCAGACACATGCGCACATGCAAAAGCAGTATTTGCTTCGGACTCTTCTATGCTTTAGAGCAGCACTAAGCTCAAAACCCAAACCCCTTAACCCTACATTCAAGATGCCAGACAGGCGACACCTGCTATGTAGCCTTTGTTTGTCCCTTTAAAGAGTTTAAAGTTTATGGCTTTGAGCTTGGGAACCAGCAGAAAATCAACAGATGTGAGTAAGTGGAGACCTAGAAAAGCAACCACTATCTTACCCTCTGGCTTGCTATCTGAACCTGTAGATTCTGCGTCGTAGTGTAGGTCGAAAGTTTAAGGCATTCGTCTAAAGTCCTGCTGGAATCTTAACTTACCATTCAGGCCGACAGCTTTCCACTGGTTCAAGGTTTTCCGTTTGGGCTTTGGGGTATATGTATTTCCCCAAGTGCATCCAAGGTATTGTATCTTTGACTACATGGAGACGCTTGGTGCACGAGAGTTCTTGAGGCCTCGAACCCTACCAGGACCCCCAAGTACGCAAAGGGCCTGAGACCTTACACAATAGAGGGTATTTGGGACATCAAGGGACGCAGTTGGGGTGAAAACCGTCATAAGTGTAGTGCAGCGATAGTTTCTTTATTTAGGATGTAGGTACGCCTTCGAGTCCGATCTGTGTTGCAACGAGACCCGCGAATCAATGTTGATGAGGGCCTTAGCTGCTTCGGTTAGGGGGCTTAATAATTAGAATAGGGTTTGGGGTATGATAAGGAACCCCCAAAACCCTATCCTATGTTTTCCAATTTTTAAGGCCCCCACATTATCGACATCGCTAGAAGTGGCGAAGTCAAAACGAGTTTCACAAGCTCGGGATCTCGTGGCAGTCGGTAGTGGGGTGGCGGAGCCATTGTGACGTGGGCAACATCGGAACAGCTAATTATAGAAGCCTAAACGTCAATAGTATTCCTTAGGGGTCCTTAGTATACTGATACTATAATGTACCCCAAAGCCCTATTCCAATCATTAAGACACCTATATGAACTTGAGTCGGGGTCCTGCCGACGTGACACATCGCAGGGCTGATGCTTTGGTTATGAAACAAGGTTCCCAAAAAGTCCTAAGTACCTAGATAGTAAAATGTCGGGATTTTACACTAGGAATTACTATTATGGGGCTTGTAGGGCTTATGGGGTTTATGGGGCTAATGGGGCTTATAGGGTTTAGGGTTCGGGGCTTAGTGGGCTTATACGGTTTAGAGGGTTCAGGGCTTAGTGGGCTTATAGGGCTTATATGGCTTAGAGGGTTTAGGGCTTATAGGGCTTATAGGGCTTATAGGGTTTATAGGGCGTATAGGGTTTATAGGGTTTAGGGTTTAGGGGAAAGCCTTGAAGCATGAACCGTGAAACCATCGCGAAGAGACCAACCAGCTCAAACTCATTACCCGAAACACCCCGAATCGCTGGATCCCAAAGCCAACACTAACCCGAATCCGAAGCCCCATGTGTGCAACGGCAGCATTAACCCCAATGAATGCTCATGCTTGTCCTATAGATCCATACCGACACCTCTCTGTAAACCCATGAGGCCCTAGTGACAGGATCCGAAGTCGCGGATCCTAAACCCTGAATTCCACAAGGGGCTAGATTCCAGATTCGAAGAACACTAGACGAAAGCGCTTGGAACCTAAGACACGGCGGGTAAAGTCAAAGTTACAAGGACCTCTATGGCAGCCGTCCTTCGATCTCCCATGCACTTGACGGCGAATCATGCCGACTGGTACTCTTTTGGAGTTGAGGGCGTGCAAGTGTTTTTTTCATAATATAGGGGCCTAAATCATTACCAATACTATGTTCGGGGCGCCTTATCATAATTACAGTATAATGGGCCCCAAAACTTAAAACCCTATTCTAATTATTAAGGCCCCTACATCAGCGATTTAGGATCAATCTTCTACTCTAAACCCTAAACCCTAAACCCTAAACCCTAAACCCTAATAGGTTTCGGGAAGGCTTGGGCTTGGCGGATCGAGGGTTTCAGGGCGTCCTGAAACTTACGGCTTCAGGGGGCCCTTAAGAATTATGAATAGGGTTTCGGGGTTGCCTTTAAGGGCTCCTATAAAAGGGCTACTATAAAGGGTGCTATCAGGGTTTAGGGTTCAGGGGGGCCCTTAAGAATTAGAATAGGGGGTCGGGGTTGCCTTTAAGGGCTCCTAGAAAAGAGTTACTATAAAGGGTACTATCAGGGTTTAGGCTTCAGGGCATGGGATCTACAATGGTAAGTTACCCTCATCAGAGCCTTGATGGTCTTTAGTTCTCCAAACCGGGTCCAAGTAATATAGAGGTCCTAACAAGTACCTGTACTATTTTGGGGGGCTCCTTATTTTAATTCTAGAAGAATATACCCCAAAACCCTATTCTAATCATTAAGGCCCCTACATTGCCTCTATAGTAGAAGGTAGGGTATCTATAGTAGGCCAATGACTATTGAATAATTTGGGCAAGTATCCCCCCATATATAGGTACTCAGGACCCTTGGGTCTGGGCATCTACGCCCTTGCCGAGGTTATCAGCCTAAGGGATCTAGGAGGGACCCTTGAAAGGGACCCTTGTAGGTTATTGAGGTTAATATGGGATATTCCGAAAATTAGGGTATCTTATTTTGGGGTCCTTATAATAAGGATCCTATTATTTAGAGTACTATCTTAGGGTCCCCTATTTTCGGAAACCCCCATATGGAGACTACCGGGCTATATAAGGGGTATATAAGGACTGTCCCTCCTAGAGTCCTTATAGTCAGCTGGCTTTTGTTCCAAGGGGGGGAGGGGAAGGGTTTTGATGCGTTGTGCTTGTTGGTGAGCTTTCGGGATTGACAAATTTTCGGGGGCATCAGAAACTGCTGGAGCCCAAGATGGACTTATCGTAGAAGCCATAAGGGCGGTTGTCAAAATTATGGTCCCTCTTTNNCCTTATTATAATACGGCACCTATTCTTTAGGGTACCCCAAAAGGGACCATAATTTTGACAACTACCCATAAAGTTGGAACATGATTCTCCTCATGCCGTTGAGGTCAAGTGGAAGGGATCCTAGCACTCGTCAGCCTAAACCCATGTGCCATCTTTCGGGCTTCGCTGTACAGGATTAGGATCGTGGACGGCCGGTAAGGGGACTTGAGGGGAGAAGAAAGCAGGAAATGTAACATAGAAGCCTAAAGAATTGCCTACATTATTCATTATTCTAATCCTAACATAAAGGAGCCCAAAACCCTATTCTAAGTATTAAGGCCCCTGAATCCTAAACCCTGATAGCACCCTTTATAGTAGCCCTTTTAAAGGAACCCTTAAAGGAACCCCAAAACCCTATTCTGATTAATAAGGGGCCCGTATATTAGACCCCGATGCCTCGCTGGAGACAGTGTTGTCCTTTACCTGCAAAGCTTCACCAGGGTTTAGGGTTTAGGGTTTAGGGTTTAGGCTTCACCAGGCACCCTGCAGTCGAAAGCTGAAGGTAGGGGCCTTAATGAATACCTGTCCGATTTTTTTTTTTGGGGGGGGGAGGCCCTTCATTATTATAGCTACAGTATATTATAAAGGGCCCCCGAAAACCCTACTCTAACTCTTAAGGCCCCCTTATTACAACTACCTCTACCATCTGGAGGGGGGGGGGGCTCCTTGTTATAACTGTAGTATAAAGGGGCCCCAAAAACCCTACTCGAACTCTTAAGGCCCCCTTATTCTAAAGCACCTATTATAACTAGAGTATACCAAAAACCCTACTCTAACTCTTAAGGCCCCCTTATTCTAAGTAGCCCTTCTAGAACCCTTTAAGGAACCCTTTAAAGGAACCCCCAAAAACCCTATTCTAACTATTTAAGGCTCCCTTACTATTTCGCACCATCAGAGAGACTCCCAGAGGGGCCTAATTAACTACCTATACCATTTGGGGGTCCCTTATTATAACTAGAGTATAAAGGGGCCCCAAACCATTAAGGCCCCCTAAACCCTAAACCCTAAACCCTAAACCCTTTATCTACAAGCACCGTCAGAGAGACTCCCAGGTCGATTATTTCAGCTACAACATCCTGCGGGGCCTGAGGTGCACGGGGGGAGTTTCCCAAAAACCCGGGGGTACCTTATTTTGGGGGGTCCTTGATAATAGGGATCCCTATCCCAAAAGAAGGGGTACCTTATTTGGGGGGTCCTTATAATAGGGATCCTATTATTTAGGGTACTATATTAGGGCCCTAAACCCTAAACCCTAAACCCTAAACCCTTATATTAGGGTACTATATTAGGGTCCCCTACTAAGCTCTTGGGCTCTCGGGCAGTGTCCCCGCCTAGAGCTCTTGTAGCCGAGAGCTCTCCACTCTAAACTTAGCTCTTCAATACCCAGCCTTTAAAGTTTTTGGGTTCTTATAATTTGGTAGTAATCTGAAAGTTTAACCTTTATATTTCTGGCTTATCGGGGAGGTAAGTATAGCCGAGCTCTCCACTCAGGATCTGTGAAGGATACTTACCTCTGGCAGGTCCTGGTAGCGTTCAGAGCTCTGGGTTCGTTCTGCGGTTTGGGTTTCCGGGGTTTGTATGGGTGGGACTTGGGGGGCGACGGGATTCATTCCCAGAGACTGTTATGTCCCGAAGACGACCGGAAACATCGAGCAATTTTGCCACGGGCCCTTCGAAAGTGTACATGATCTCTGTTGGAGTCTCTGGAAGTGGTTTTTGTATGGCTTCGGGCCTTTCTTGCTGAGTTTAGAGCCTTGGGCCGAGGATGGCGGCACATGGCGAGATCAGACCGTTAGCGTTAGACTAGGTTCCCCAGTAGTACCCTTTTGCCCTTGTTCTTTGGGGGTTCCCTTATTAAAGACCAAATACTAGGAAAAAGGGTACCCTTAATAAAAAACTGGGGTACCTAGTAGACCATTTCCTAATACCTGGCGGATCCGGGGAACTAGCGGGAAAGGTTATAAGTAGTGTGTCTGGGGTTAGAAGCAATCAGAACCACAGTTACAGTGACCTTATCTAGAATTTTAGCCCTAGTCACTATGTCCCACAATCCTGTAAGTAGGTTTCCCGAATCCACTATAGACACGTTCAAGCTTTCGTTTCAATCCATGGTAAGAAGCTTATGCTTCGGAGGGTTTAGGGTTTTGGGTTTAGGGTTTCTGACCATGCCGTTGGAGGTCGCAGAACCTTAAGCACATTTTTGGTTGTTTCTGCTGCAGCGGCATCCCATAGAGTTGCATTGTGTGGCTTGCCGGCGGCCGGCGCAGACGAATCCCGCTTGACATCATGGCACGGTGAGGTGTCTCACGATCCTGGCACGATGTCAAGGGGACAATATCCCAGAGAACCCGGGAACCCTGAACCCCAAACCCTTGCTCCTGGAGGCATTCTCCTCCAAGCGCATGCTGTGGCAGTCCAGCCCCCACAGACCGGAGGAATGTTGTTGCCCGAAGCATGCATGCCTACATCTACATACATAAGCATATGTGTACATGTACATAAGCAAATATAAAAATTTATATATATATATATTTATTTATTTATTTATTTATATTTATATTTATATTTATATTTATATTTATATTTATATTTATATTTATATTTATATATATATATATAATATGTGTAT